AAGTTTCGCATTAGAACGATCAAGTGTTCTGGGATTCCCATTCTTCTCAGAGTCAGCCACAGGACGATATAGTCTCTGAAAACCAACTGGAGAGGCCAGCTATGAGTTGGTTCTGACTTGAACTTTCTTTTGGTCAAACGGAAATAAAGTACCAAACAGGTCATGCCATCAGAGTTCCAGAAGGAAAGGAGAAATATGGTGGGGCTGAAAACACAACTGACGAAAAACATGGCCGAAAACTGCCTACATTTGGCAGCCTAACAGCCACAGAAGTCATGAGTCTACAGATTTAAGAGGAATGGAAAGGCCAAAGAAGACAACCTAACAAACTCCACAGACCACAAACAGCCAAAAACTAAAGACTAGGGTCATTTGTGTGTCAGTTCTGACTCAATGGAATTGAGTCTATCTAAAAGAAGTTAGAGAAACCACTAAGATAGTTATAGAAATGCATACATAAAAAACTACTGACAAATAAAAATAAAATCCTAATTGTTCAAAAACACCACCAAACCTCAAAACCAAATGTCAAAGAGTGGCTGATTCGGAGTCCTGGCAAACTTCCATGAAGTGGCTGAGGCTGTAAACCTTTATGGGAGGAGATTGCTCATCTTTTCTCCCTCAGTTGTCGGTTGATTCGAACTGCTGACCTTTCAGTTAGCAGGGCAACATGCAATATGCCACAAAGTCAAACTCATTGCTATGGAACGGAAGAAACTCACAGCTGACATTCCAGAGGCTGCAAATTTCATAGAAGGGGACTGCCCCTATTTCTCTTGTGGATCAACTGGTGGATTTGAGCCACTTGGTTTTGAGTTGGTAGCATAACTCCTTACCAAGTAGGCCACCAGACCTCCTGAAATAAGTCATAGGAAGACAGATGAATGAAAACATAAAAAGAAGAATTTTACAAACAAAAAAGGAAATCCCAAACAATAAAAAAATATATCAGTAATTCAATTAAACTTAAATTATCAAATTTCCAATTAAGACTGTCTGAATTTTGGTGTTTTTTGTTTTGTTTTGTTTTTTAATAAAATGATCCAACTATGTGCTATCTTCTGATCAGCTCTTTTACTTAACATCTCTGTCCTTTGTTTTGGCTTCTTGATGCACCAGTTCAATTTTCTGGATTTCTTTTGACATTCATTTTGATCCCCCCCCCCCTTGTTGTGACCTTTTGCTCTCTTCATGGATAATATCCTAGTAGTCATCCCACAACTCATCTGGCCTTCAATCTCTGGTGGTCTATGCTTCAAACCTATTCTTAAGAGGTATTTTTAAGTTAAGGTAGGATAGACGCAAGATTATTTTTGGTTCTCGTGCACTTGTTTTAATTTTCTTCAGTCTCTAGTTGAACAGAGCTGAATAGCTTTCAAAGGGCAGTTCAAAAAGACGAAGTAAAGTATTACCTAGTAATGTACAGAGAGTTGGAACTGTAGAATAAAAAGGGAAGCATTTTTCAAGCTAAAAGAACAAAAGGACATATTCAAGCCTCATGTTCAAGCCAATTCTTAGCCAATTCAAGCCAACACCTAGCGATGCTATGGGCAAAATCTTGAATGACAGGAAGCATCAAAGGAAGATGGAGGAATACACAGGATCACTGTACCAAAACAAAGTGGCTGACAATGTAGTATTTCAGGATGTATGAAATACACCCATTTTCCTAATAAAACCTCACTCTTAGCACCTCTGGGTGTCTAAGGTTTATCATTCAGATGTCTTTTATATGATCAAGAGCCAATGATAAAAAAGGAAGAAGTTCAAGCAGCACTGAAGACTCTGGCAAAACATAAGACTCCAGCAATCGATTTGATACCAACTGGTATGTTTCAAATGGCAAGTGCAGTCCTGGATGTGCTCATAAGCCTATGCCAGGAAATTTGGAGGATAGCTACCTGGCCAACTGGAAGAGATTCATATTTGTTTTTGGAGCGTTAGCTTAAAAGTTGGCTATTCTAGCCATTATGTTAGCCCCCTCTGGTCTCTAGCTACTTTAATTGTAGACACATGATCTTGCAAATCATCAACAGTGGTGGGACTAGAATAAGAGAGAGAGTGCTTCCCATACTGGGCAGC